CAGGCATTAAATACCTCAGCCTTCTTGATGTCGTCCTTTATTAGCTCTCCTTCCCCGCTAAGCAGAGGACCTCCAGTTTCCTTGGTCTTCTCTTGTTCATGAATAAAATAATAAGTTACAGCTGGAATCAAATCCAAACCAAAACTCTAGAGCTGAACTTCCCCAAACTTAAGGGCGTTCAAACTTCAGTGTGAATTTTGCAGTTTAGTTCAAGCTCTAAGGATAGCTTCCTTCTAAACAATATTAATACGTGCTTGGCTCTGTGCAAGACTCAAAGGTCAAGACTACCCCTGCCCCAAATCCCTTACAGCCTATCAGACAATTAAGGCACAGTCCATGAGATAATCAGTGGGAGGTGCTATGCAAAGAAATCATCATCATCATCATCAAGTGCTGCATTTGTCAGCAATTTCAGATCCTTGTCTGAGGAAACACCTATTACATGGAAATGAAAAAACAGCTCATTTGCAGTCAGTTCATAATTCACTTGAGAAAAGGAAGTCACCCATCAAGCTGACTCCCCGCTGGGGGTTAGCTCACTCTGACAGCTAAGTGGGGAGCGTAGGAATCTCTCAGAACATTCCTACAGAGGCCATGATCTCACACCTGTGACCTGCTATTCATGCAGACACTAGAGCAATGCTTGGGTTGACTGCATATACAAAGTGCTAATGGTTATGCTGTTACTCTTCCGCACAGGCATGCACTACAGCAGTGGTGGGCAACCTGCAGCCCATCAGGATAATCTGCTGGCGGGCCGCGAGACAGTTTGTTTACATTTATTGTCCACAGGCCCGGCTGCCCGCAGCTCCCAGTGGCCGCAGTTCTCTGTTCCTGGCCAGTGGGAGCTGCGGGAAGCGGCGTGGGCTTCAGGGATGTGCTGGCCACCGCTCCCATTGGTCAGGAACGGCGAACCGCGGCCACTGGGAGCTGCGGGCAACCATGCCTGCGGACGGTCAATGTAAACAAACTGTCTCGCAGCCCGCCAGTGGATTACCCTGACGGGCCGCAGGTTGCCCACCACTGCAGTACAGCATAGCACCATGCACTCAGAGTGTCACATACAATTCTGTGACTTTAAAGTGCCATTCTGTGCAGGAAAGGACTCTAAAAATGGTATTGTGTGGTTCCTGGCTCTGTGTCTTGCTGATTCCAGATCAAATGTGCTCACTCTCTTAAAAAATATTTGAACTACCAGCCCTTCAAACTCATGCTGAGATGCAAGAATCAAGCTGGGTTCATTTTCTTACGCACTATCATCTGTTTACATAAAAGTAAACAATATGAGGAAACAACATGGGCACAGTTGGATCTCAAAAAACCATGCTTACTAAAAAGACACAAACATGCCAGGCCTCGCTACATACATACACGCTGCTGCATGACGATTTCTGAAGGCTACTAAAACAGAACTTGGTGAGCAACACTAGAGACCTCACACACTATTTAAATGGATGCTACCCTATTCCTATGCACAATAGGCCTCATTGCCAGTAACAGCGTTTCTGAAGGCTTGGTGACACCTCTGCAGCCCCAGTTGCCTTCAGTGGGCTTGCCAAACTGCTTGGAACAGTTGTCCTGATGATGCTCAAGGAGGAATAGAAACCAATTCACCCTCTCACTTGTGCTGGCTCCAGCTGGGCTAACTCAAGTAAAAAGCAGGGGGGGAAATCATTTTTATTCCTAAATATAACAGATTTATATCCACAGACAGGATCAGTGGAGTGAGAAGGTGCCGTTTTTATATAGTCACTTTTCAGTACAAGCCACACTTAAGTCCTAAACATGTGTGTGCTTTTAAGCTCAGAGTAGAGTTCAGTGTGTCATGTGGTGTGCAGTTTCTCACAACATAAAACCTGCCCTAAAGAGTTTGCAACCTGATGATGCAAACTGTACAGCACCGAGCAAAACGGAGCCCCATTCTGGGTTGGTCCCTATGCATAATAAATATGATTAACAACAACAGTAGACATGATGGAGCAAGTGATAGTTACAGGCAACAGGTGGGGGAAATAGGAGGCTGGGCAACAATGGGCTACAAAAGATCACGTAGGTACTTAGTTATTATGGACACATCTTTTTATAAAATACATTCCCCCTCTATTTGTATAACCCAGGCTGGCACAGTGTAGATCTTTGTGCTCCCTGCCCCACCAGCAGCTCCTTCACCTAAGCAGTAGAGAGCTGGACAGGATATTATTTCTTTTCCCATACAAAAATAACAACAAAAAACAAAAACACTTTTTGTTGTTTCCATTGAAAGTTTTTTTTTCTCTTTGTGGGTTTTTCCCTTCATTTTTTGATGAAAAACTGGCAGATGAAATTTTTGAAATATCGACTGCAGGAAACCAAAACATTTTCAACAAAGAAGGACATCTTTTGCAAAAACTTGTTGTCAAAAGAAGTAATTTTCTGTTAAAAAACATTTTGATCGGCTCTACAGAGGTTACAGAAGAGTCTGCTACAACCACTATGTAGAGGACCTCATCCTATAGCTCAAGCTGTAGTTTCTTGTACTTTGACCGTCCCAGGTTCAAAACCCACTGTCAGCTCATGTAGGGAGAGTTACATATACTCCATTCACACTCTAAAAAGCTTGCTCACTCAATTCCCTCTTGCTCCCACTGCCCTGCTGTCACCCTCCACCACACCAAGCATCTCTCCTCCCCAAACCCCATCCAGACACACCCAAATGTATTATTTATCATTGTAATTGCAGCATCGGTGTCTGTGTGCTGCTCCTGGTGAGTAAAAAAACAACTGAATTTACCATCCATCAGGGCAAGCCAGGCCCTGAGGGGAAAAAGAAGTGCCCTGATTGAATATGGTGATAGGGATGCACTATGCAATCATTTAACTCCTGGTATAGGGAAACCCAGTAAGTGACAGCATAAGCGCCAAGCCTGCAGACTGTCTGATTTTTATTCTTTTTTTGGAGGTGCCATTCCTGGATTCCTCTGATGTGAACTTGAATGCAACCATGGCCATGGAAATCCAGAAACGGGAGCTTTGGCAGAAGCAGTCAACCACCAACCAGGAAGGAGTTTCCTAGTTTTGCTACAGGATTAATTTCTTCCTCTTCCCTCCACAAGGATCCTACCCAGAGAACACCAGAAAGAAGGCTATGGGAAGCACTGTATAACTCTCACCAGGGCAGCAGCAAAGGGCCTTGCAGGGACAATCCCAGCAAAGCTGAATAGGAGAGAGGCAATCTGGCCGTCCTAGAGGGGTGAAGATGAAAGAAGACAGTTTGACTGAGGCTCAAGAAAAGAGATGGAGAGGAAAAGCTCAGGAGGCATAATGGGGGGGGGGGTAAGAGGCGAAGACTGGGAGCAGTAGGGAGGAGGAAGACTAGGGGAGAATGGAGGAGAGCATGCTTGGGGGAGACAGATTTTCCAGAATGGAGGTAAGAGACTGGAAAACACAAAGTAAAGGAAAGAAAAATGACAAGAGCTGAGAAACAAAAAATAGAGCAGAGAGAAAGAAGAAAATTAGAGGGAAAACAATCCCCAGGAGAGAAAAATTTTCAACACAAGAGAGACAAGAAGGCAAAAGTCAGACACAGAAACGGCTCCTTACAGAGAAGCTTTAACAATTTCAGGGAAAGAAGATGGAAGTGAAATGAAAAAGACTAGAAGAAAGAGGAGGAACCAAAGCTCCCACAGCTGCAATTAGATGGACATGGGCAGGCAAAACCCGGTGCTGAGCACCACTGATCTCAAAGGGAGCACACCCACATTGATCCAACCACAGGATCATGGCCATGAGCAGGGCCAAATTAACCCACCTGTGGGCCCGGAGCTATTAGATTTTGTGGGGCCCCGTATACAAGTATTTTTCCTAATTTAAAACAAAATGATCACAATTATGGATTCGAGGCTATTAACGCTATACTAAACTTGCCTTTTCATTAACATAAAGCCGTTCTGTGGTTACATTTCAGTCTTAAGACATGCAGAATATAGTTAAGTTAATTCAAAATAGCCTAATTCTTACCTTAGAACAGCTGTTACATTAGTTTATTTCTGGGAGGGAGTTTGGGTGCAGGAGGGGACTCCGGGCTGGGGCAGAGTGTTGGGGTGCAGGAGAGGGTGAGGGGTGTGGGCTCTGGGAGGGAGTTTGGTGCAGGAGGGGATTCTGAAAAATATCGTGTGCCAGCTACTCGGGACACAGGCACATCCTGGGTATGGAAGGGGCTGGTACTTTCCTAGCCGTTACAACAGGCGGAGCACAGCACCCTTACTAGTGAAGGATTCCCACAGGCTGGGCACTGGTGTTTGTACATTTTAAGGCCAGAGGAACTATTTTGATGATCACCTCGTCTGAGCTCCGGCCTAACACGGGCCCTCCGTAGAACCTCACCCTGCCATGCTGCATCAAGCCAGTGACTTGATGCTGAGCTAAAACCCCCCTCAGGAAAACAGCCGATGGGCGGGAACCCACAGCCCAGCCCCACGGTATAGCTCCAGCAGGGTTACAAGCACTTTCTGCCGCTCTCTGTGCTGGGGGTGGCAGCAGACCGGGACAGGAATAAATACACGTTTGTTATAGCTGGCGCCCGGGGCCGGTTTGGAGGCAGGTGGCACCGGGGCGAGAGAGGGGAATGGGCGCGGGCGGACGAGGCGCCTGGGGGAAGATCTGTTTGAAACCCACCTTCCAACAGACACTCCGGGCATCTCACTCCGGGGTGTGAGCCCCACAAGCCCGCCCCGCCCCGCCGAGCGCACAGGCCGCCCTGCCCCATGGCGAGGGGTTCAGGCGCGAAGCCCAGCCACGGGAAGGCGCCAGGGCACCGGGCCACTGCAGCCCCGTGAGCCTGTGGCGCTGCCTGCAGCTTGCAAGCCGGATTCCCCGCTTCCCAGCGAGCCGCCCCGCCACTCGCGCAGACGGAGCCGCGGTGGCTCCGGCCCGGCTCGGGTCCCGCGGCGGGGGGGGGGGGGGGGGAGCCGGGGGGGGCCCCGGGGCGGGCTCTGGGGCGGGGCCCCCCGGGCGATACTCACCGCGCGCCGCTCCGGGGCCCGGGCAACGCGCAGCCCCGCGCCGAGTCCGCGCCCAGCCCCGGCCTGCAGAGCTCGGCAGCCGCCGAGTGGGGGGAGCTTCCTCCGCTCTCCCTCCAAACCGCTTAAAGAGACAGCGGCCGCTTTGTGCTCCGGCGCCGCGCGGGGCCCGGCCGTGCCCCCTGGCGCTGGGGGAGGGGAGCGGGACCCAGCCCAGGGCTGGATCGCTGCGGGGGGGGGGGGGGCGGCCCGCCCCCCCCGGGGGGGCGGGGGGGGGGGGGGGAGGGCCAGGGCCCATACCAATACGGGGGGGCTTGGGGAGTCCCAAGCCGGTGTGTGCGGGGGAGGGGCTATTTTCCTACCACCCAGGGACAATTGCATCGCGTGCCGGGGGGGTGGGGGGACACAGCGCAGAGCCGCGAGCAGGGCTTGCCAGGGAGCCCATCACTGTGGCATCGAGCCGTCAGGCAGGCACACACCTTGGGTAAAGGCCAAGGCCCCACTAACGTGTTGCTGGGAGGGGGAAGGGATCCCCGCCGGAGGGCCAAGAGCAAGCGGAGCTGCCCCGCGAGGAGGGAAGGGCTGAGGGGGCGGAGAAGCGGAGCCAGGTTCATGGCTGTCCGCTGTGGGGGGAAGGGAGACGTTCCTAGAGCGGCCAGACCAAAAACGCTTCAGGCTGGCGGGTGGCTGCACTGTGCCCGCAAGACAGGCACAGGAATTTCCCACGTGCACAGGTGAGCAAAGAGGAAAGAAGCCACGTCCACTTGCTGTGTTAGTCCGGATCTGTAAAAAGCAACAAGTCCTGGGGCACCTTATAGACTAACAGATGTATTGGAGCATAAGCTTTCGTGGGTGAATACCCACTTCGTCAGACGCACCCATGAAAGCTTATGCTCCAATACATCTTTTAGTCTATAAGGTGCCCCAGGACTCTTTGGTGCTTATTGCTAATAATGAGATTGGTGCTTTTTTTTTTCTTTGCTAGTTTCTGAGCCTTTATGCTGCTTCTAGCTTTTCTTTGCCACAATATGGACTAGACACCTCAGAGAAAAAGTAAGTGAAGACTAACATTCTCACCTGGACAGTGCTGGACCAGGCTAGAAGGGCATTCCAGCTCCCCCCAGTACTTCTGGCAATGGAGGGGGCCCAGCAACTGCCACCTACAGTCCAAGCCATGCCCAAGACACCCGGGTGAGTGGCCCTGGGCCTGGGACCCAATGCCCAACCACAAGGCCAGGGCTGGGAAGCCTGTCAGAGTGTCAGTGCTGTGGAATAGGAGGGCAGGCCCTGGCACTTCCCCAAGCCCTCTGCAGGAGGAGGTACTATGCAGCACCAGGTTTTTGCACAGAGAGCAGGGTGTTCAGGGGTTGTAGGTACTTTCCCCTGTGCTCTCTGGGTTGTGGCCTTCCCTGGTACCAGGGATCCAGGCTTGGCACACCTCAGCAGACGGAGAGTTACTGTGCAGTCCCCAGCACCCCTGTAGAAAGCCCCAGTGGCTGCCCTGATCATCTGACTCCAGCAGCTGGGGCTTTAAAATATACACCAACTATTTCCAGAGTGGGCAACCTTCACATTCCATGGCCATTTTCCTTCCTTTGTGTTCGTCTCTCCCTGTCCAAAGTATCCTACACCCTTATGGAGAACATAAGAGGCAGTAGTACATTTTATCCATGGAGGTTGGTTTTTTTGGGGACCACCTTATAGAAATCTATAGGATGATTCAAAAAACCTATAGAAAGGAGATCATTCTTCATTAAATTCCTATAGGTTTTTAGACTAAGTTCTACAGAAAAGTGGTTTTCAAACTTTTCGTACTGGGGACCCTCCCCCTCCCATCTGGCTATATGGAAGGACAAAGTTGGCTGCAACCCCAGGTTGAGAATCCCTGCTCTAAAACTGTATTAGTTTCATTCCTGTTACATTCCATAGGATTTTTCCATAAGGGTCTGAGTGTAGGGAACTCTCCCCCTCCCCCAATTTTGAGGCATTCATCACTGGAAATGGGGTCTAAGGAGGGTGGAGTTTTCCTGCTCTTGTGGCAGGTGTGAGGTCCCCTGCTTTGATGCTCGTAGGGAGCCCTTTGAGATCTCCTACCTTGAAAGGTGTCTTGCTTTGGCCTGTGAAGCAGCACCCTTTAAGGAATAAGCCTGCCCTCTCCTGGACATGGGACCTAGAGATGCACTCACCTAACCCATCAACCACACACAGCATTCATTGCAAGAACTGTTAACAAAACAAACTGTGTGTGTGATCGAAGTCACAGAGAGAGCTTTCCATTAACACACAGTTCCCCTTTCATGCTTGTTATGGTTATTTCCTTAGTAAGTTAAGGGTGTTTGGAGAAATTGTTTTGTCTGGAAAGTGGTTAGAAAACCCAAGATATTTGGCTTTCCCACATACAGTAGCTGCGAGATAGATAGAGCCATGCCCTCACTGAAAATCCACCCCCCCACCCCCCACCCCCATCATGGCCACACAGGCCCCATGCCATAAAACAGCCTTCACCAATCATGGCCTCACCCACCACTGACTGTATCAGGTCACATCCCCACACATCAGTCCCTAGAAAGGACCTTACCTCTCCCCTGCCCCCCACCCCCGCTCCCTTCACAGTGATTTTGTTATAAACTCCTCTCTATCCCTTTACCTGAGCCACTGCGGAACTCAAAGCACTTGGAAAGGATCCACTTCTCTCTCTCCTTCAGCTTCGACTTTCACCTTCTGGAAAAGGGGCCAGCAGAATGAGTGGGGTGAATAAATAAGGCTGCCTGTGGGGGATGAGACAGCAGCATGTTGCAAAATGTGTACGCCACAAAATATTTCCTCTTCCTGGCGTGCTCTTTCATATAAATGGAAAGTGAAAGCAAAAACAACTGCCACCTTGGGCTTCTGATTTGGGTCTCCTGTCTTTTCATGGAGGTCTCTTCCTCATCTTACAACCTCCAGGTGCACGTAGCCAACCTGTTGTAGATACAGGGAGTGTAGCCTTCCTCTACCCAGAGGTCCTTTCCAGGCCAGGCATACAGTATTTCTTTCCTGAAGTGGAAAAACCAGAATCCTTGTCAGGCTCGTCTTATTGTTTGTATTATAGTAGCACCTGGAGGCCCCAACTGAGCTCAGAGCCCCATTGTGCTACGTGCTGTACAGAGCCCCTACCACCATTACAATCTAAACAGACAAGACCGGTGTGTGAGGGGAAGTAAATATCTCCATTTTACAAACAACTCTGTGGCACAGAGAGGTGAAGTGACTTGCCCAAGTCACAGAGCAGGTCACTTGCAAAGCCGGGAATTCACCTTAGATCTCTTAACTCCCAATCCAGTGCCTTAACCAGAGACCATCTTTCCTCTCTATCCAGCCTCCTTTTGAGCAACAGGAGAGAGGCCCTCTACAAGCCAAATATAGCCTCCTTTGGCTGACACCAGAGAAATCTCTCCCAGGGCAACTGTAGCTGCCTCCACAGTGGGGTAAACACCAGAGCCAGTCAGGACAGACATTTGTTGTCAGAGCATTTGACAACAGCTTACAAGGATCTATCACAGGGGTGGCCAACCTGCACCTGAGGAGGAGCCAGAATTTACCTATGTACACTGCCAAAGAGCCACAGTAATACATCAGCAGCCCCCCATCAGCTCCCCCCTGCCTGCCAACAGCCCTGCTGCTCAGTGCCTCCCCTTCCTTCTCCATGCCTCCTGTGGCATGCAGGAGACTCTGGGGGGAAGGGGAGGAGCGAGGGCGTGGCAGGCTCAGGGAAGGGGGCACGAAGGAGTGAGGGCCTTGGGGGAAGGGGTGAAGTAGGGGCAGGGCCTGTGGCAGAGTCAGGGGTTGAGCAGTGAACACACCACCCTCCCCCCCCGCCCCCGGCACACAGGAAAGTTGGCGCCTGTAGCTCCAGCCCCAGAGTTGGTGCCTATGCAAGGAACCACATATTAACTTCTGAAGAGCCACATGCATCTCTGGAGCCACAGCTTGGCAACCCCTGATCTATCATCTCTCTCTATTAAAAAGGACAGAGCTGTTTCCCCTCTGCCACCTGGAGGACAGAAGTGATGGCATCCCCAAACCGAGAGTCTGTGGAGAAGGAGCTGTCAAACAGTGAGGACTAATCTAGTCAGCAGAAAGCCAGTGTGTCACATCAGCCCCTCCCAGCCTCATTGGCATAGCAGAGCAGCTTGTATTTTCCAAAACATGGTTTATTTACTTACTATAAAGAAGAATAGATGTTTGCAAGAAGGTTTACTTTCAACACTGAGGATTTCCCCAGCTGGGACTCTCCCAACACCCTGTAAATTTCCTGATGGGTGAACAAGGCAATGCCCAGGTCTGGTGACTTGCTTAGTCATATGCTCAGTCAGCGGTGTCACTGGGATTAGAAGCCAAGTTTCTTTGTGCTCCCAGCCCCTTTGCTCCAACCCTGTATCACATGGGCTCATTCATTAAGGGAACGTGACCTACCAGTTGGGGCCAAAGCCTGTTCTTTTAAAACAGGTAGATCTCAGACTGGAAGGCTCTCCCCACTGAAGGCAAACAGACTAGTCTCTGAATCCTTCCAATCTGTTGCAGACATTGCTCCACAGCTGCAGATACTGTAGCTAATTAGCCCTGAAGATGCACACAACGAGGAGCCTGGGAGTGGACCATGCACTGGTATAACTAATGGCATGTGTATTGCATATGGTATAGAGGCCTAGAATGGAGCAGGTGCTGGTGTCACTTGCAGTGTGGGGTGGGTTTAATACAGCAAGGAGAGCAGGGACAGCTTATGCTGGGACTGCAGACTGAGGTGAGGGGATAGGAATGCACACCAGAACTGAGCAGGGACATTTAATGGAAAGCAGCGAGTGACTGCACATCGCTCACACCATGGCATCTAATGCTGCAAGAGACTGGAGATGAGAGCATGCACCAGTGTTATGCATGGAGCGTGGGCAGGGGCAGAGCCAGACCAGTGGTTTTTGCTGGGTTCCCAGAGCTTGATCTGATATCAATGGCCCATGTCACTAGGTTAATGCAGATGGAGGCAGCTCCTTCTGATTTTATTACTTCAAAGGAAAGCCAGCTGCTCCAAGGCGGTCAGCACCACATCGGCTGGCTCCAGGGCTCT